AGTACGGTCAACGCTTGAAAGTGGCTCTCCCTCCCGGGCAGCTGGGCGCGACCCAGGAGATGGAGATGGCAAAGGCCAAGGAGATGGGCTGGAATTACGAGGAGGTGGATGTCTTCGACGTGCTGGAAGAGCAGTTTCCGAAAGGCCAACTAGTCGACGCTTGGTGCGAGGCCACGAAGTCCTGGCGGAGAGGCACGGTCGAGAAGCAGGATCTTGTGGACACCGAGCAGGAGGACGGTTCCGATGACACCGTGGTGCGATGGACTCTGCGATGTCAGCTCACCAGGCAGACCTTCGACGCCTTTTGCGTTTGCAGCACTGCTGCGACCATGAAGGCCATGCTGGATCATGTCGGTCGGCACCTCAGGAGCAGAGACAGCACGCGTGTGAAGCCACAGGCCTCCAGAGGAGAGCAATTGGTATAGTTTTGCGAGCTGAGGTGATGTGAAGCTGCGCGGGATCCTCATGGAGTGCCTTCCGCACGTCGACGTGCTGGACATCGGCACCCATCGGCTTCGCCCAGACCTCGTGGCCCTGAGAGCCAGGCTGCAAATTAAGTCCATCGGAACCTTGCACAAACTCAGAAATGGAGTCCTCAATGACGACCTCGAGCGAAGCATCAACGCGCACCTCGCAGATCCCCGCTGGGAGGTGGAAGTCAGCAAATCCCACTTTATGGAAATGTACGACACCAGCCTCCGGGCGCTCGACAAGCTGACGTGTCACCAGAGAGAGCGTCTTAGTACCATCAAAGGCTCGGACATGGTGCATTTGTTTGCTCCTGCCGGTGCCGGCAAGACCTTCGTGGCTGTGGAGCGGGTGATCGATGCTCTGAATCCTGGGGCTGATGAGCCAGCTCCTCGCGTCCTCTATGTAGCCGCTACCGTCGAGCTGATCTACTACTTCGTCCAGTGGCTGGCCGTGCGCATCGTCTCTCAGAAGAAGGATTTGGAACTTCTTTCTGCGTTGGTTATGCTTTTCAAGCCATACAAGAAGCTCCTCCGGCTTCGTATGCCCGTGCTGCAAGACGGGGACATCGAGTTCGAAGCAGTGATCACGAACCACGACGAGAATGACAGGTTCGATCTCCTTGTCATTGACGAGAGCCACAACATGTATCAGGACGGGGTCGACCGCGGCATTATTGACGATCTGCATTGCAGCAAAAGGCTGCTGTTGTCCGACAACGCCCAGTCGTCGGCCGTGACAGCCACGTTTCCAGAGATGGAGGAGGTGCAGCTGACAGAAGTTGTCAGGAGCACGAAGCAAATCGTCCTGGGCGCTGCCTCGTTCCAGGTCAACGCCGAAGCTGCTGTGCCCGCAGGCACCGATGGCCCACCAGTGAAGTCCTACATCTTTCAGGCTTCGAAGGACGAGGATGAGCGGATGCAGCACTACGCCCGGCGCGTGATGGATGCCATCCTTCACGTCGACAACGTGTATTCGGGGGTGAGCCTGCACAAGAGACTTGCCCTCTTCGTTCCAGATGGTCAGTTCCTGACGAAGCTGAAGAGGACATTCAACCCGTTGTTGCGCGAGGGACTCCC